AAAATGTATCTTTCACAAAACATTTAAATAGATTTAAGACCTACCTCCTAACAATCTCATATTTTATCCTACAGTAGTCTTTAAATCTTTTGAAATAAATTTGTATCTTAATTTTCTTCTAACACATTGTTTGAGTATTTTGTCATGTATGGCCTGGAGGAGCTCTCTTTCTATAAATGTTTACTTAAGATATCTGTCAAAATGGTTAGTCCAACAGGTAAATATATATCCCTGTATCAAACCACTGGACATGTCATCTGGCTGGAATTGTGTTCCATTAGCATTCAATTTGCTCTACAGTATTAGCAAATAACCCAGGGTTGTCCCCCTAAGACTGCACTTCCTCTTCTGTGGCTTCATATAGTTGATTTTGTCAAAACGCAAAGGGTAGCTATCAGAGATGTGATTATTCATAATGTTTCTTATCTCTTGTAGCTTCTCAAGAAGTACAGGTCAACCAAGCTGTGTTCACATCCCCAAGACCAGTAGGAAACCTTCAGCTTTGCCCTCTGGAAACAGCCAAAAGAATATGGAAAGAAAAGTCAGCAGAGGTGCTGTGCTCAGAATACCAGGATGGAGCAGGCTGAAAGATATATACAGTACTTGAGTCTATTGTGAAGTAAAGCAGTTTTTAGAACTAAATCCATTGAGATATTCTGAAAAATCATCAAGCAGCTCCTCTTACTTAACAGATTCCTACCTCCTAGAATCCCAGGTTTATGTAGAGAGTTCTATTTCCCTGAATAAATAATAATAGTAAATAATAAAAACAATGCCACTGGCTAGTATTGAATGCTTACTATGAGTCAGATATTACTCTAATTCTGCATATTAATGACTTTAACCTTAAAAATCATGCATTTTAAAGATTGGGGGACTGATAAATACTTTGTTCAGAGTCACTAATCAGAAAGTGAAGGTGTCAGTTTTTATTTTCTGGAATTCTGGCTTCAAATATTATATATATTTAAAAATATCATTTGTCAAAAATACAGGCAGATGTTCAGCTGTGATCTGGGCATTTGCAAACTCCATTCCCACCTCTGGATTAAGCCTCAGTTCCCTTCCATAATGTTAATCTATTATTCATGGGATTAGGTTTCTTAGTAAGGTTAAAGAAGAAATTATTTCAAACACACAAGATGAAAATTGAGTTAAAGAAAGTAAAACTGTCATCCAATCTGCCTTTCTTATAGATTTATCCAATAATGGGTAAGTTGACCCGCACACGTCTTGCCCTCATCATCTGCAATACAGAGTTTGACAGTCTGCCCAGAAGGAACGGAGCTGAAGTTGACGTCAGAGATATGAAAATGCTGTTAGAAGGTCTGGGATACCAAGTGATTGTGAGAGAAAATCTCACTGCTTCGGTAATTTTTTGAACTATAGAGATTATGATTATGTGCGTTATACTCATAAACAATTTTAGAAAGCATGTTCATCATACTAGGAGACTTATATCTTGTTTTTTGCTTTTGTTTTTTTCTTGGTACCAGGGATCGAACTCCAGTCCTTGCGCTTGCACAGCAGGTGGTGAAACCACTGAGCTAAATCCCTGGCCCAGGAGACTTATATCTTGATAGTTCATATTTAAAATTTTCCCTTCGAAAGTGCTTGATGTTAAATGTCCTCTTCAAATGCAGTAGTCTTTTAGCAAGACTGGTGTAACTTTCAATTGGGTAGTTTATTAACTCAGTAAGATCACTTTCTCTCTGCTAGAAAACTCAGGATGACTTCCTATAACCTTTGCTTTCATCACTTTTCACAGATTTGAGATTTAAACTTTCTTTCCTACTTCCTTGATTTTCATGGATGAAATGACTCAGGGAATTCCTTAATTGTCTCTTTATTGGACTCTCAGGGTGCCATAATCACACAGTCCAAAATTGGTGGTGTGACTTTTTTCAGGAAATGGCTACAGAGGTAAAGGCATTTGCTGCCCAGCCAGAGCACAAGACATCTGACAGCACTTTCCTGGTGATCATGTCTCATGGTAATCCAGATGGCATCTGTGGAAAGAAACACTCTACAGAAGTCTCAGATGTATTGAAAGTCGACATCATCTTTTCAGTGTTGAACACTAGGAACTGTCCAAGTTTGAAGGACAAGCCCAAGGTGATCATCATCCAAGCCTGCCGTGGTGGTGAGTGCTGTTCTCCATTAGTACATAAAACTTTTAGTTATTGACTTTATTATTTGTACACATCCAGTATTTTTCAGTGTCTTTGTGTGTGTGTGTGTTTGTGTTTGCTGTAAATATCAAGAAACATCTATTTTTGCCATTCAATCAGTTTTGGCTTCTGTGAATTGTGTTTATGGTTAGTATTACTAAAGAGATACCATTTTTAATCTTGAAGTTTTGATGTTTAAATGGCATTCGTTTGACGGTTAGGAGAAATAAGAATTGTTGATAAGATGGCTCCCGAAATGTGTGTGTATATGTAAAAGAATGACAGTGTGTATGATGTGATATATGCTTGAAATGTACCCAAGTTATGAATAAATTAATAATTATGCTGTAGTTCAGTAGAGGTTTAGAGGAGCAAGTAGTGCTCCTGAAAGTTGGTAGTAAAATAACCCAATTTTTTTCTTTCCAGAGAACGAAGGAGTGGTGTGGGTAGAGGATTTGACAGAAGACTCTGGAAACAAAATTTTATTCAATCCAGAAGATTTTGAGAATGATGCCATTAAGAAAGCCCATGTAGAGAAGGATTTTATTGCTTTCTACTCTACAACACCAGGTAATAAATTTCTATGCAGAATAGTTTTGTAGGGTTATTGATAGAGAAGCTCACATCATTCTGCTAAAATATGGATACCTGTGTTTAATTTTAGATGAAACTTTTGAAGATCAACTCAGTTTTGTTACATAACACCTCCAGTTGTCATTCACAAAAAATAGTGTACATATATTTTCACTGAATTAATAATTGGTAAAATTTCACCCTGTTGCACAATATTTTGTCTTTGAACTTTAAAAGATAACAGGGAATTAAATGAAAAACTATGTTTAGTGAAGTAAATTACACTCTGACTTCACAGAAGAAAATACTCACAATATTGTTGCCAAGACATTATGCATTTATAGAACACTGTGTTGGAGGCAAAGAGGGACATAAAGGCAAACAAGGCACATTGAGATCTTAAAGTGAGTTCTAACTAGAGTTATGAAGTGTATAATAGAAAATAAATCTGAATGATTCTAAATGTAACCTATGGAGTCAGAGTATTGAAACTATATCCTGACATTTCTATTTAGGACTTTGTAAACTAGTTTTAGTCATTTAACCTCACTGGGCTTTCTTTCAATTACTCACTAATATATGCAAATATAATATTCTGGTTCTGAGGATTAAATAAGATGATGTATGTGAAGTCATGAGCATGGTAAAGAGTAATGCACACATTAAATGACTGCTATTATCAAAGAGTTTGCATTTTATAACAACTCAATGTACTTTGTTCATTAAGGTTTTAAATAAAAGACATTTGAATTCTTTTATCTACTGAATTTTGCAATTTGCTGGAGTTCACATTCTCTTAGTCACCATGGACCCTATGGCATCCTGCTTCTGTTCAAATAATTTACAGATTATGTTTTCTAATTAGATACATCCCTCTAGAGACAGCCTGGGTCTGCATTATGTTGACCATGTCTAGATGTAGAGCACAATACATTTTCCAATAATCAAAAATAATGATACTATGCATACTTTCCCAGCTTACTCAGCAGCCTTAATATCAGGTATAATTGGTTTTTTAAATCATTTGATCCTGGACTTCTATAATACATTCACCACTGGCTACAAACTAGTCTGCAGGTCCCTGACTTCTCAACAGCTGTCCTTCTGATTTCTGTCTCTTTTACTCTTGTGTTTTTCACCCCTCCAGATGACTCTTAGAAATTCCAGTTTAGTTATCTTCAACTTCACAGTCCCCTGTGTAAATCCCAATGATGTCATAGTGTTTTCCTGAAGAAAACTGATCATCTAATTTTTGAATTACACAAAAGACCTGCAGACATACCTGGCTCCACCTTTTCTCCTCTATTCTTTCTTTAGTGGGCATAAGCCAAATAAGTCATCTGTATTTTAATAGGATTTTAATTATTAACATGCATTTTACTACCATTATCATTCACTAAAAGATTTGGTTAAATAATATTTCCATGAATATATACAGTTATTGTTACTGCTTTTTTCTATATGCATTTCCTTGGATACTTTTTAAATGTTTCCACTACTTCCATGTGTCTAATATGTTATCTAAATAATATTGCCCTTCTTTAGTAATTCTTTTCTCCAATATATCTTTTTGTTCTCCAATAGAATGTAATCTTTCCCTCTTAAATTATTTCTGGGTTTGTGCTTTCATTATATTGGTACCATTTTCATTCTTATTTAGCATTTTCTGTCATATAATCCAATATTTCTCAGACAATTCTATTGTACTACATCTGTCCTTCAAATATGTCTATGCCACAGAAATTATTACCTCCAACTTTGGTAGTTGAAGCCACAATTTAATGTTGTTTCCACTATCTCCTGCTTTTTCAATGACTCCAATCAATCTTTTTTTTTGTTTTTTTCTCAAATTCTTTTATTGGTACATTGTAGGTACACAACACATTTACATTTCTCATTGGGAATTGTACCTTTATATGATGCATCTTGGTTCTTATTTTTCCCCCATTCCTAGCCCTCCATTCACCCCCTCCACCTTTTCCTGCTTACAAAGACTTTATTTCCATTTTTTCCATTTCTCATCATTTTTCCTTTCCCT